TTTAGCACTTTATGAACTGAAACACAGAAAAGCAATATTCTATTGAAGAGCTTTATTTTTAAAAGAAGAATACAGTTGAGGATGTGCTGTGTGCCATGTAACAGCTCTTGGCATTCCACACAGGTACTGGGAGATGCGGGAGCAGCGCGCCCCAACCCTGAAGGGCAAGCTGGCTCCCAAGGCCGACCAGGAGCAGTGCGACCCGCTGGAGTGCCTGCAGTCAGACGGTGAGGATGACGAGAAGAGCGTCGCCCAGCAGCGGCTGCAGGAGCAGCGCGAGCGGCTGCATGGGGCGCTGGCACTCATCGAGCTGGCCAACCTAACCGGTGCACCACTGCGCCAGTAGCTGATGCCAAGCAGAAGCTAAGCACCTTACTTGCTTATCCTAGGCTGCTATTCTGTAGAATTTATGAAGAATGTCATTACCCCAGAAACTGGGGTGAGAGAGAATTGCACTTTTTTATATGGAAATGGATTGGATGTAAAGTTTAAAATTATTTTGTAAATATGGACTGTACCATACAGGGTAGAAGACTACATATTGTGGGAAGCTAGATTTTGCAAGTTTAATGCATTCATTGGAAGCAGTTCTCACAGGAAGCACTTTCTGAATAAGACACTTGTGTGAAAAAACAGAAAATGGTACAAAGAGCCAAAGAAGGTTGACATAGATTATTTATAAGATCATTTTTAACAATGTATATTTGTATGTTTTAACAATACTGTAAACACTGAAGCAAGACAGTATAAAATGTGTTTGTAAGATATGTATTTTTAAATTGCTCAATAGCATGCCCAATAAGGCTAGAGAAATGGGAAGCTATTTGGGAAGATGTTCTAAGTTAAGGTCTTGGAAGAAAATAGATATTTGAGGGTCTTGGTAAGATACACAATAGTTCAGAGTTTTGAAAATTGGAGTAAAATCAGTCTTATTCTAACCCACTGTAATGTTTAAGTTTGAAAAGCACTTGTCCATCCCTCACATGTTAATTTGGGAACTTTTGCACATTTCACATTTCTCATTTGCTGAAAATTGAGTGATTAATCTTGCAAAGTCTAGGTAACATAGGACTTGGTGTTTTTTATATATATGATGGGCCCTGTAATGAGATTTGGCACTTGGATTTTTATTAATAAAAGGGACATCTACAGGGTTGTTTTGTAGTGAAATGTTTTAGCTCTTTGTTAGCAAACACTAAATTTTAATTGTACTGCTTATTTAGAATTATTAGCAAATGGAAGCCTCCATATTTATATTTTCAGTGCATAAAGCCATCTTCTGCTTTACTTCAGAATAACATGCCAAGCTATTATGTGTTCACTAAATTTAGCTATCAGTTAAACACTGCAGAAAACAATAGCTACTCAAATATATAGATTTCTGGGATAGTTTTAACTGCAAGTGTATTAACTTGTGTGGTGGTTTAAAACTATTTTTTCTCAAATAGATGAAGTTAATAAACACCACTTTATGTACTGAAGTGTGACAAATATCAAAAACGGAGCAGGGCACCTCCTTTTTATAAGCAAAAAACTCATCACATGAGCTTTTGTTGTAAGCTGAACGAAATGACATGCATAGCATGGTAATTTATAGATTGCTTAATTGGAGTAAACCTCAAAATTTAGAGGGAAAGATGGGCTCCTCGGCTCCTTTTTTTCTTTGAGTTGAAGTGATACTCTCCAAATGTAATTTATACGTTACCTAGAATGTAGGCTTCTTATCCAAAAGTCCTGAAGTGTGGAAGTACACAGGTAATTTCAAATGAGTAGCCTTGGGGGAGGGGAGCCATGTAAATGTCTTGAAGAGAAGCAGAAAGTGTGAAAGAAGATATGACAGTTAGAAATTATGTGTATGATGAGGACATACTTTAAAAATATAATTCCTCTGTACAGTAAATTACAGATCTTTAGGGAATTTTTGTAATAAGAGAATTTATATTTGTAATGGTCTAAGAATTGTTTGTAATTTGGTATATAGAGTTTTAACTTGGAGCACTTATAAGCATGGTAACAGACCATAGCATCTGAATTTTCCTGGTTTAGGTTTCAACATTTAATCTAAAATTTTTCCTCTCAAGGATAATTTATATGAACTGAAAAGCAACACTCGGTCAGTCTTGGGAAATTAAAATTTTGATACTTAAATAAGGGCAGTAAAAAATTTAAAAGTATAAATATTTGTCATTTCACAGATGATAAAAATCTAAGGTCTTCAAAAAGCAAGGATTTTTGTTTGTTTCTCCAGTCAGCTTTTGTAAACCATAATAGTTATATTCACAATTATTTTTTATTTGTATAATTGGAACAGTTTAAGAAATTATTTTAATTCTTTACAAACATTCAAAAAGTTCTTTTGATATAAGCTATATACTTGGGCAAAATATATTGGTGTCTGAAATTTGAGGTGTGTTAAGACTGTTTTTGTTTTAAAAATGTGGTTTACATTCAGATTTTTGAAGTGTTTTATGCTTCATACGGCTAAGTTGTAGTTTGGCAGAGTTAACAGCATAGAATAAACATGCTGTAATTTTAAAAGATGCTTTGAATAAAAATTTATTTTAATTTAAAGTTTAAAATACATAGTCATTCTTGACATTTTATAATTTATTTTTCTATTAATATAACCATGATATAAAAATTTAAAAAGACAGAAATACGACGCTCAGCCTTCCATTCTTTGACCAGCATTATTTTGGTGCATTTTATAGTTCACTCCAGTCTTATCCCAGGCATCTCTTTTGCACAGTTGTAACCTGAGTGAATTATTTTTTCTTAAGTTAAAATTGTGGCCTTTTAGATTACAGATATTTGAATTCCTTCTGTGGTTCACTAGTATTATTATTATTTTTTTTGTACCGGGGATCGAACTTGGGTCCTTGCGCTTGCAAGGCAGGCAGTGAAACCACTGAGCTAAATCCCTGGCTGTGGTTCATTATTATAGTGTTTTACTACACTGGTATAGGTAAGTATTAAACTCCATCCAGCCTTAAGTAGGGCAGTAAGGAACTGGGATTGCACTTCACGTCTATGCCGAATGTTTTGATTCTGGGGTCACCTTTGTTAGGAGTCTAGCCATTTTTTTTTTTTTTTTTTTTTTTGCGGTACCAGGGATGGAACTCAGGACCTTGTGCTTGCAAGGCAGGTGCGGTGCCACTGAGGTAAATTCCCGGCCTGCAAATTGGTTTTTTGCATCAGTTATTTTTTGGAATATCTTTAATTGAGCAATTGCAATGACAAAGGTCATTCTGTCTGGACTTTGTGGAAAATGAATCTCTCAAAGAACTCTGCTGTTGAGTTGTAATTGATTTGAACAGGATAAAGATGGGATTTTAATGGTGACTTCAGAATACTGGTGGGTTTTTTTTGTACCAGGGAGCGAACTAGGGTCCTTCGGCTTGTGCAGCAGGCAGCGAGACCACTGAGCTAAATCCCCAGCCCTCAGAATACTGTTTTGTAATCAAAGTAACCAAGAACAATAGATCTTTTGGAAGAAATTAAGATGATTTTCAGATTTTGGTTCAACTTGAATATGAATTTTTTTCTATTTTAAAACAGACCTATGTATCTGTTCTTTCTGTGTGTGTGGTACCAGGAATTGAACTCTGGACCTTGTGATTGCAAGGCAGGTGCCGGAACCACTGAGCTAAATCCGCAACCTTATATCTGTTCTTTCTTATTGGATAATTTGGGCCCTCTTCAAAAGTTCTGCTTTAGTTCCTTTATCAGGGCCAAAAATGTTTGTTTTCAGCCTCTTGGTTGTTCAGTGGCTAGAGTAGGAAAGCAGTTGTCCTGGCATCTATACAGTTACACTTGACTTCAACTAGAAACATTTCACTTTTCTACAAAGGTAAAATTTCAGATTTTTAAAGTTAACCACTTAGAATGAAAATATGAAACACTTGCTTTAAAAATTGCTAGAGGTGGGGCCAGGGATTTAGCTCAGTGGTTCTGCTGCCTGCCTCACAACTGCAAGGTTCCGAGTTCAATCCCTGGTACCAAAAATAAAAAATTGCTAGAGGTGCCAGGGATTTAGCTCAGTGGTTTCGCCGCCTGCTGCGCAAGCTCAAGGACCAGAGTTCGATCCCCAGTACACCAAAAAAAAAAGATTGCTAGATAGAGGACGTAGACTCTGGCTAACAGGCAGTCCTGGGAGGTCTCCTACTTTGAACTAGAACTGCAGATGTTAATTTCTATCCCTTTGGGAAGGGAAGAAATGTTCCCTCAGGTGAGGACAGAACTTGCCATAAAGCACTCACAGGCACCAGAACCCAAGACTTAATCCTAGGTGTTTATCAAAGAGAAATGAAGTTGGTCCGCACACATGTTAAGAATGTTCAGAACCCATTTTCCATAATAGCCCTGAACTGGAAACAACCAAAATGCCCATCACCTGGTGACTGGATAAACAGATACCACTCAATAACAGAAAAACGATGAGTGGCAAGGATAATCAACGGAGTTAAAAATGCCTTAAGTTCTAGAAAAGCATGTCATTTACATTAAATTCTTTTTAAAAAGGCAAATCTACAGAAATGGGAATCATTGAGATGGGAGGATTAACTTCAAAGGGGCGCCAAGGGAACTTTTGGGCAGTGGTGGAAATGTTCTATGTTGTGATTTGAGCTATTATTACTATATATGCATTTATTAAAACTCATAACAGCCGGGCCCAGCGGAATACGGTGGTGCTCGCCTGTAATCTGGTCACTCTGGGAGGCTGACGCAAGAGAATCGCAAGTTTGAGCCCAGCACAGAGACCCTGTTTCAAAAAACCCCAAACTTTATACTCCTAAGATTTCATTTCATTGTCTGTAAACTATACATTAAAGAAAGTATTAAAGGAGAAGAGACAGAGGGAGCAAAACAAAACCTGCGGCTTGTGTGGAGTCCAAGGCAGGTAGGGTTCCTCCCCTACCCACTCCCTCTACAACCCGCTGAGTCCGGAGTCAGCAGGCGGTGCCTGGATCCCCGGGGTGAAGTCCAGATAGGCGGGCGGGCTGGGCTCACGAGTCGCCTTTCCTGTTCCTGCGGCGCTCTCTTCCCGGCCGGGAAGGGGACGGGCCAGGGCAGGGACGGGACGGGGGTGGGCAGCGCGCGGGGGCAGAGCGGACCTGATCATGACCCCCGCGGGCGCCGAGCGGCTGCCCTCCCGCGCCGCCCGGCTGCTATCCGCGCTGTTCTATGGCGCCTGTTCCCTGTTCCTCGTGCTGCTCAACAAGGCGCTGCTGACCACCTACGGGTGAGGCCGGCCGGGTGAGGCGGGCTGGGGCTGGGGCCGGGGCCGGGTGGGTGCCGGGGACTAGGACTCCACTGTGGGTCAGGAACGTGAGTCACAGCCTGACAGGGTCGCTGTTGCGGGGCTGGGCTTGTAGAGCCACAGTCACATGCTCTCCTGTGCCCGCCGCTGAGCAGGAGGAGGGATCCATCCAGGGTGGATCTTAGAGCTAGCGATTTTGATTCAGATCTACAGGTTCCACAACCAGATGAGCTTTGAGTCCCTAATCTGTTTGTGTTGCTCGACCATTCGTTCCTGGATAACCACCATGTCCAGGGAAAACAATAAATTTGTATGATGCCAGGGTTTTTGTTCAATTTTTATTTTTATTAGTACATGTTCGCAGTACATAATGATTACAGTCATTGTGGGGAGGTGGTACATGTACAAAACACATCTTCATTTTTATGCCTCTTTCCCCTTCCCTTCTCAATCCATTCCTCTCCTGGTGATGCAGGGTGTTTGGGGATTAGTGAGAAGTAAACCTGCAAACTCATGCTTCCTTGAACCTCTTTGTAAGAACTAGAAAATCCTGTTTAATTCTGCTGGTGCCCCAGCAGTCTCAAGAACTGTGGGTTTAAACCCACTCCCGGAAGTTAATAAGTCTGCCTCTTGAGACTGGACATGTAATCACCAAGTTCCTCAGTCAGGGAAAGTGGGTGATTGTAAGCCTGTGTGCGAGCTGTCAGTGTGAGGGCTCTGAGGTGGAGTCTGTACTAAGGAACACCTCCCAGGTTTCTCTTAGTCTGATGAAACCCTGGCAAGCTCCTCAGATAAAGCTGGGTCTCTGTCCCACTGCACAGGAGCTTCCTGAAGTGGGACTGGGTCCTTCTAGTCCTCCTGCTCGTGCTCTGTCCACACCCTGGCTTTTCTGATCCCTCTGTCTCCTGAGCTCCTGGTAACCAAGGTCATGAGGTCCTCGTGGTCTTTTCCACATGGACTCTGTCAGCTTTCCCTAACTGCAGGCTCCATGTTCTGATCATCTGTCTGGATCCTGTCTGATCCAGTCTGCTCTCCTATGCCCTCTGTATCTGTGATGCAGGATGTCTGTCCCCAGCCCCACTCTGCCCCTCCTTCCCCGAGTGGCTTCCCTGGCCCCTATGGGCGCTGTTTCCTCTCTGTTTAGCTTGCTCAGGCCACCTGCCAGCTTACTGCCACACTGGGCAGCTCCCAGTGTCTTGAGTGCAAATCCACATGTGGCTGACTGGTTTGACTTTGACCTTGCCAGACTCTCCTTCCCAAATGCCTACTGCTTCTCTCCTCTCTGGAATGACTGGCACTTTCTCCTTTCTCCTGGAGCCTCTGGTGTCTTCCTCCATTCCCTCCTCCAGTCCTTTACTGAGAAAATAGAAAATAGAAACCATCAACTGGGGCGCTTCCATCTCCTTCCTGCTGAAATGAAGGTGCGAGGCCCACTCCTCTGGCTCCTTCCATTCTGCTCTCTTTTGCACCTGCAGCTTCCTTGTCTGCAGCCTGAGGACATGCTGCTTTCCTCTCTTCAGAGTCGGTCTCCACTTCCTTATATTCAGTCTATAGGAGTTCAGTTCAAAGACTGGAGAGAGGGGAGGCAGGAGGATCATTTGAGGCCAGTTGTTCAGGGACAGTCTGGACAACATAGTGAGACCCTGTCTCAAAAGAGAAAAAAAAACTAAAAAGTTATTTCCATGCAGAAATATACAAAGAAGACAATAATTATCCATACTCCCCCTACTTAGAATCAAATTATTTTTCAGTTCTGGGGATTGAACCCAGGAATTCTTACTGACCTACATCCCCATCCTTTTTTTTTTTTTTAACTGTGTATTGTTTTATTGGTACATTTTAGGTATGCAATATAATGACATCCCTGGAGATATGCACCTTTACATACTCTCTTGGTTCTTATTTTCCCCCTTCCCCTGCCCTCCCTTCAACCCCTCCATCCTCCCTATTTACAAAGACTTTGTTTCCTTTTTTTCATTTTCTCATATTAATTCCATTCCCTTCTTTCCTTTCCCCTACCCCTCCCACTTTCCCATCCATTTTTTATTTGTGTCATAAGACAGGATCTCACTAAGTCACCAAGGTGAAGTTGTGATCTTGCCTCAGCCTCCCAGAGCACTGGGATTACAGGCATGTGCCCAGCTACAGTCTTGAAATGTCTATTCACCTTTTTAAAAGAAAAGTCTTTTTGTTGTGATTGTTACAAAGAATTCAAACAAGAGAAATATTAGGTTGAAATTTAAAAATTTTTATATAATTGACACTAACCAACAGTTTCAGACATCTTTTTGAGATGGAAGGATGAATATGTGGATACATAGATGGAGACATAGATACATAGGTTGAATTTCTTTTTATAAAAATGGATCATTTTATAGATATTACTTATTTTCTCATTTACTTCTTAATGGTTTTCTTTAACCCAAAAATTAATTGGAGAGAGTGGGGGAAATATTTAATTATTTAGCTATTTTGAGGATTACTTATACCTCTCCCCTACTTTTTATTATGAGATGTTTCAATGATACTGAAAAATTGAAGCCAGGCATGATGGCGCATGCCTGTAAACCCAGCACTCTGGAGGCTGAGGCAGGAGAATCAAAAGTTTGAGCCCTGCCTCAGCAACTTAGTGATTCAGAGAGAAACAGTCTCAAAGTAAACAAACAAATAAATAAAAATTTAAAAGGGTTTGGGATGTAGTTCAGTGCAAAGGCCCTGGATTCAATCCCCAGTACCATCACCACCATTTAAAAAAAAAGGAAAACAGAGTACCCATCTACCCAACACTGAAATGAAATAATTGTTCACATTTTGTTATTTTTCTCCCTCTCCTACCAACCATTGAAAGAAAGTTGCACATGTCACAATATATGAATACTATCTCCGAAATACTTCACCTTTCCTGACACATGGACATTCTCCTGTATTGTACCATCTTCCCTCTTAACAAATTTAATAACCTGCTAAAATAAACTAATCCCTAATCTATAATGTCCCCAAGATGTTTTTGTGCTTTTTTGAATCAAAATTGAATCAAGGCTCATACAATGCACATAGTTATATCTTTTAAAATTGTTTTAATCTAGAGAGGTTTCCCCTCCCACCTTTTCCCTATTCTGGTGATTATATGAAAAGCCATGGGCCAGTTGTTTTGTGAATCATTTAGGTTATAGAATAGATGGTTTGTATTTTGAAGTCTCCAGTAATTTATTTTCCTCTATTCTTGGATTGAAAGTTTGATTAAAAGGCTTGAGTTCACTCAGTTCAGGCACTTTGGTAAGAGTGCTTTACAGCCGGCACTGTGGACTTCATGTTATATCCTGTTGGGGACCCAAGTTGACTTATGTAGTGAAATTTCACTTTAACTGAATTCAAAGGAGAAAAGAGAAGCTGATGTTCAAATCAAAGAACTGTTGAGTTTTAAATGTAATCATCCCTGGCACCTGTGAGGGATAGGCTCCAGGTTCCCTGACATCTCCCAAATCCACAAATCCCTTACAGGAAACATGGCAATCTTTACATATAACCTCTCACACTCCCTTCAAAGAATCTCTAAAGTACTCATGGTACTTGATGCAATGTAAATACTGTGTAAAATAGTTGTTACCCAATATTATTTATGACAAGAAGAAGGTCTGTACGTGTTCATTACAGATGCAGGCTTTTCCCCCAATATTTGATCTGTAATTGGTTGAATCCATGGATGAAGGAGTCAAGATTTGAAGGGCAGCTGTATATATTGCTTCACTACAAGGGTTAATGTTTCTAAACTATCTCTTTCAGGTTAAAAGGTCATAGAAGACATTAAGAAGTTACAGCCATTCGGTTTATTTTGAACCCATGTTTTAGTTTTTGATATTCATAGCCTGTCAGCCTTGGGAAACAACACCTACTTGGTCTTTCCTAGATTTGCCTGCTGCCCGCCCTGGCTTATCTGACAGAATAGCTGCTGGAGTTGAACCCATCCCTGCTTGACTGGGCTCTGGGTTTCAATGAGTATAGTACTTGTGGCTCTTTCCCTGTGGTGTCTTAGGCTGGAGCTCATTCATTCCTCTGTGTCTCTCCTTGCTGGGTCCCACTATTAGGCAGGGTTTGCTTGGGTGTTAAGTGGCTCTGTTGTTACTGTTGTTGAGTGTCCTTTAATAGATTTTCCTGTAATGTTGTGCTTTTAGATCTGAAGATTCAGTTTTTTCCCCTTCTGTCAGGAAGAGGAATTTGGCTTTTATCTTTGACTCCTCCTCTTGACTTTTTCATGCTAGGCCTAGAATTAGCCCTCTGCAGTGCTGTCAGGCCATCTTCCGAGTCCACTCTTCTTTCAGAGTCTGCTTATCCTGTGTGTACTCTGCTTACCTTGGATGGGGGCAACTCCATTTTCAGCCACAGCCCTTTAGTGCCTAGTGCCACTAAAGGTATTTATTCATGTGGCAGTTATGTTGTTTCTGACCCTCAATGAGTTTCTGAGACCTGAGTACACTCTTTTCATCTCCTTTGACCTTTTTTAAAATTAGGAAATCTTTCTTCTCCATGCATTGTATGTCTTCTAGGCTGGCTCTCTGTGGGATCTGTTGTTATTGTCTTACTCTTTGCCTACACTGTTGTTGACTTGTTTTTGTCCCCTGCTACAGATTATACTCTCTGAGATGCCTAGGAAGGGTGCTGGAGAGCGTTCTTGGGCATGGAGAGAAGGGGGAAGAGGGCTTGGTCTGAGCTCGGGTTATGACAAAGACTGACCCAGAGGCTCTGGAGATTGGGTGGCTCTACAGAGTTGTCTTTAATGGGGTGAGGGGCCCTGGCCTTTATACCCTGTGTAGACTGGCGATTGGAATGCAGTCTGCTCTGGGGTTGGGGGCTGGGGTTGGGGTGCTGCTGTCAGGCCACTTTCAGCCCCATCTGGGGAATGAATGGTTCTGTCTGGAAAGGGGGATATAGGGGGAACCAAGCAGCATCCATTAGAGTTACTTATTTATTTGTTTTTTGACAAGGTCTTGTGTTTAGGCTGACTTAAACACCCAGTGTAGCTGGCCTTGAAGGGGCTTTGAACTCATGGCAATCCTCCTGCCTCAGCCTCTCAAGTGCTAAGATTATGAGATTAGAGGCATGCACCACCATGCCCAGCTACAGTTAGTTTTATTCTCATGGTGGTACTGTGCAACCATTCAGTCTATTTTCTCCAGTTTTTTCTTTATTCTTTTCTTACCCTAGCTGAGATAGATATGTTTCCCCTTTAATATACTGATCGAGGGCAGACTTTTTTGGTGATATTTTAATATTTTCAGCAGTCCAAGAGAATGAGTCTGAGTATGGATGAATGGGGTGAGGTGATGGGCCATCCTTTTCAGTATGGTGTGAGGTAGGGATTAGGATCTACATTTAAATTACTTGGTGCCATATTTACTGCTCTCAGTGTCATCTTTGTCATAAATCCAGTGTCCATATATGTGTGTATCTGACCCTATCTCTTTTTTGTTCTTTTGTCCTATTGGACTGTCATTGTGCACATACCACATAGTTTCATTTATTGTAACTAAATCTTGACATCTAGAGTCATTTCTCCAACTTTACTGTTTTTCAAGATTAGTTTAGGTGACATATGCCTTTCGATTCAGTGTTCAGTTTCTGTCCATATGTGTACTGATATTTCTTTGACTCTATAAATTAGTTTCAGGATAATGGACCTCATTATGACATTGAATTTCTAACCCATAACCTATATTTAGGTCTTTTTCAGTTTTTTAAAAAATACCAAATTATAGTTTTCTATATAGAGGTTTTCTTGTATTTAGTGTCCTTTTTAAAGTTATATTTATTAACATTAATAACATCTTCAGATTCTTTGTTTTTTCTGTATATACAATCCTGTTGTCTGTTTTTCCCCACAAAAGGCAAAAGACAGTTACCAAATTTAGTAATCAATGATCAGTTTTAAAAAATGAAAAAGATATGAACAAATAAAAAGTTAAGGAATTTGATGTTGTTTCCATTATCTAAGCCTTTTTGTTTTGTTTTGTTTTGTTTTGGTACCAGGGATCGAACTCAGGACCTTGGGTTTTTGAGGCAGGTGCCAGAACCACTGAGCTAAATCCCTGGCCCTATCTAAGCCTTTTTAATAACTTTTGTCATTATGTCTTTTATACTATCTTCAATTTTTTATATGTTGCTAAACTAATTTGTTATTCCATGTCCTTTATAGCTTCCCTTCACCAATTGTTCTTGGAATTGGACAGGTAAGTAAAAAAAATAAAGCATCCATGTGCATAATTGTATTTTAAGTACTTTTGTTGATGATTGTGGTTTACAATGATATTTAGCTGGCAAGGGATCAGAGATCACAGTGTTTCTGGTAATACAACATGAAACATTGGTATGCATTTTATATCATTCTGCAATTTAGGAACAATATTTTAAGTTTGTATTTGAGTGCAATTACTCTATCGCAAGGGGCCAGAAGACTAAGCCTCTGTGTAACAAATGAGTGAGCTGGGGGCTGGAGGGACAGGAGAATTCTGGTCCCACTGAATTGTGGACAGGATACATAGGTTAAGCCACTGTGCTGATAAGAAAAGTGTTAGAGTGATGAGGGGTGACCCATTTTTCCCTTATTTCACCCCCCTTCCCTGGCCAGAAGTTTTTCAAAAGAATGAGGGAATTTGAATTTTTACATCAAATCTCCAAATTCCTAAATCCTGGCACCTGATTCACATTTTTATAAATTTCTCTATGGGACAATCAAAACATGTTTACAAAACACGTTTGTAATTTTTGCTTATAAGTACAAGAGTGAGTTTGGATAAACTTTCAAATTAAAGCCATTTGGCTCTCTCTGAAATTTCCCATTAATATTAATTTGTGGTTTGTTTATTCTTTTTTTTTTTTTTTTGGTACTGGGGATTGAACTCTCGACCTTGTGCTTGTGAAGCAGGCGCTGGAACCACTGAGCTAAATCCCCGGCCGACTTGTTTATTCTTTTGGTCACATGTTGATGATTTCCAGTAAGCAAACAGTTATTATCAAAACTTTTCTGTTGCTGTTTTGACTTTTCTTTGATTATAGGGAGAAAAACTTAAAATTATAAAAATTATAATTGTTTACTAAATTTTAAATTGTGAATCTGGAAAAGTCTATCATATATACGAGTAAACATTATTCTTGTTTGATGTTTTGTTAAAATTCTTTGCAACATTACTTTAGGAGAAAAATTTTAACAAGAAAAGAGTATATTATATTAAAAACACATCTTTATGTTTTAACGTAAAAATATGTGGAAAAACACATTAATATGCCCTTGGAAATCCCCAAATCAAAAAAATTTTGTTTTCTAACCCACTGGCTTATATTCAGTTAATTATAAGCCTTTCTGATTTGGAACTGGGTTTACCAGAAAGAGACTCATTAGACCCAATTTAAAAGTCTGAATTATACTTATTTTAATTAAGTGTTAGTATATTTCTTCAAGAAATATAAAGTAAGACAAAAATACAAAGTCCAATTATAATTCAGGAAGGACTTGAATAATATGAGCATGTAATAAATATTTGTAAACTCATTAAGATCAAGATTTAGAATTATAGCCAAATTGTTTTTCTGGTGTGAGAAACTGAAAGTGTAAATGAGGACCAAAATGTGTAATAGATAATGTGAAATAGGAAGAAAAGGTTCAAAGGGAAAAGGGAAGTGTGGGGGGGGGTGGAAAGGAAAGAAGGGAAAGAAAAAAATATGAGAAAAGAAGGAAAAAACAGAAGCAAAGTTTTTGTAAATAGGGAGGGGTGGAGGGGTGGAAGGGGAATGGGGAAAAACAACCAAGATATATCATGTACAGGTACAAATTCTCAATGATGAATGTGATCATAATATATGTATACCTAAAATGTACCAATAAACTTAGTAAATAAAAAAAGATTTAGAATTGTATTCATGGTGAAGTAGCTCGTAAAATTTTGCATGCTAATATGAAGAAAACTGTAAAATTTGCTTAAGAAGATGATGCTGAGTTTATTTCAAAATAATAATACAGAGTATTTTTAATATACTTAGTGTATTTTAGATTTCTTTTTTTTCTGAGACAGAGTCTTGCTAGGTAGTTCAGGCTGGCCTTGAACTCACTCTGTAGCCCAGGCTGGCTTTGAATTATGGCAGTATTTCTACTTCAGCCTCCCAAGTGCTGAGATTACAGGCCTGCACTACCACACCCAGTCTTTTTTTTTTTTTTTGGTACCGGGGATCAAACCCAGTCTTATATTCCAGATTTATAGGAGTTAAATGAGATTGAAGAGAAATATGAATCCATTAAAATTTTTTTCCCTCTTTCTTTGGCCTCTTGATTTGTTTTCTGTGTTATGGAAATGTTAGATTTTTGGGTTTTTGGCAGTGTTGGGATGAAAGCCAGGACCTGTCGTGTGCTAGGTAAGCACTCTACTACTGAGCTACATTCCCAGCCCAAATATTGGACTTTAAAAAAACCAAAAAACATGTTCGGTGCAGAGTTTCCTGTGTAAGAATGCCCCTCCCCTTGGCCCTTACTGGGGCAGGTGACCCCATGCTTGGTGTGTGGCCAGTATAGGGCAGGATCAGCATGTGGCCTCACAGTTGCTGGTTGCTGTAATCACTCTTGGGTATACCACTCCCTCATCCCGCAGTCACTGGCCTTTGAGCCTGAGATAACGTGTACTTGTGTGTTTATTTGGTGTTACACATTTTGCTTGTAGTTCTGATGGCAAGAAGAACAATTTTGGCATGGTGTGGTTGGTTTTTTTTTTTTGAACATGAAAAAAAATTTTGGCTTGCTCCCTTTCTAATGAATGTTGTCCCATGATGTCACTGCATCTCAAACAATCTTTCTAGATATTTTGCTGTAGTTTCTTTTCTTTTTCTTTAGATGGCAGCCACCATAATGATACTGTATGTAGCCAAGCTGAATAAAATAATTCACTTTCCGGATTTTGACAAGAGAATTCCTGTAAAGGTAAGTAACAAAAGCTGTGACAGAAGATGTAGAAATATAGACTTACAGACTGATCTGCTTGTGCAGGTCTGATTCTATACACACTGTACTTTCTGCTTGCACTGGGTAGAAGGTTCTTACTAGTAAAGATTTTATATCTTTCATGCAATATAATGCAATAACAGTAAAAGCATATGCTTAACAATTAACATTAAATATTATGTGTCTTCTGAAGTGACACAAAGGTTGGCAGCCTCTCTTGGTCAAGGAATAGGCCACTGCTGTTGCAATGGTCTACTCTGTCACTGTATCATGGAAGCACCCCTACGTGACAGGTGCATAAACCAGTGTAGTTGAGGTCCAGTTAAACTTCATTTGGATAAACAAGAGATAGGCTGGATTTGGTCCTCGGCCCTATTTTGTTCATCTGGTTTTTGTTTTCATTTGTAGCTTGGATTGATAGAATCTATGAGTGGAATGAAGGATACAGTTTTATATACGTTGAAATACACAGCTTCTTTCCATTTGGAACTGGAATCATAAGATCTACCTTTCCTTCCTGGGAAAGTGAAATGGAACCAACTTTTAATGAATAGCTGCAAGGTGCCTGATGTTAGAGCGGGGATTGAATTCTTAGAGCAATGCTGTATGGCAGGTGACAGTAGATGATTACGATGGCACATGGATTTAGGGAGGTTTAACCAAACACAATTTTTTGAGAGTGATGTCATGTGGCTTGTCTTTCTCCTATGTGTTTCTAATGTCTGGTGTCTTAGTTACTTTTCTTGTTGCTGAGACAAAATACCCGACACCCAAAATTAAAGGAGGAAAGATTTATTTAGCTCACAGCTTGTAGAGGTTTTATTCATAGTTGGGTGGCTCCAAGGCAGGGTGGGATGGCAGAGGGCATCACAGAGGAGAAACAGTTCATGGTGGGCAGAAGACAGCAAAGCAGCAAGCAACATATTTTATGTAGTATAATAGTTAAACATTTTAACATAATTTAAGAATTTCAAATGCTGAGTGTGGTGGCACCTGTAATTCCAGCACTGGGGAGGCTGAGTCAGGAGAATTGCCATGAGCTTGAGGCCAGCCTAGGCTGCATAGTAAGGCCAGCTTGAACTGCATAGTGAGACCCTACCTCAAACTTCAGCCCCCCCCAAAAAATAACTTCAAAATTGTGAAATATGTATAGACAAAAAGATAATCATATCTGATTGTATAGTTGAATGAATAATTAACCTTTAAATGATTATATAGGTTATGAAATGGAATCACAAAGTCTTCCTTACCTACTATTCTGACTGCTACAATAATAACAACCTTTTTGTTCATTTTTGGTTCCTATAGTGCTCGGGATTGGTCCCAGGGCTTTGCACATGCTAAGCAAGCACTTTCAGGTGAACTGGCAGGGTTGGTTTCTGGTAAGGCCTCGTTTCCTCACTTGCAGATGGTCACCTCTCTGTCCTTACATAGCCATTCCTCATTCCTCTGTGTGTGTGTGTGTGTGTGTGTGTGTGTGTGTATCCTGCAAAGATTCCTGTTATTTTATATTCTGGCCATTCCTTGGTATGCCACTCATTTTAAAGTCTGCTGATCTGCTGGGTGTGTAGCGACATCTTATGGGCTATGTCATTTCCCCGATTACTTACAAGGTTGAGCACCTTTTCATTTTGGGGGGGGGTACTGGAGATCAAACTCGGGACCTTGCGCTTGCGAGGCAGGCAGCGGAATCACAGAGCTAAATCTGTGGCCCTTCATTTTTAAGTCTTTTCTCCCACTTCTCTGTAGTAAGGTGATATCACTTCCAGTTAAGACCTTTTCTGAGTGTCCCTTTGGATAGCCTTCTCTGTGAAGTATCTGTTAAAGGCTTTTGTCCATTTTTCTATCAGGCTGATATCTTTTTGGTCAGTCTTTAAGGATGGGTGTTCTGGACAAGGCCAAAATTGCATTGTTTTTTATGATTTAGTCTCAGAAGCCACATAGCTTTTCTTTTTTTTTAGATATTGGGGATTGAACCCAGGACCTTCTCAATGAGCTACATCTCCAGCTCTTTTATTTTCTTTATTTTGAGATCTGGTTTTGATAAGTTGCTAAGTTGCCCAGGCTGAGCTCGAGCTTGTATCCTACCTCAACCTCCCAGAGTGCTGGAATTACAAGTGTGTGCCACCACACCCAGCTGCTTCATTTTAACTATATTAGTAAATGATTCTTCTTAATTTTAAGAAGGAATAAAGGCTCTACCTCTGGGTGAAAGGGAGAAGCATGTGAAGAGAATCATCTTAAGAGAAGCCTGTGGGATGAGAGACACATCTGTCACCTTTGATTGTGGATTTATCTTTTTCTCTTGGCCTGTTTGTCAGATTTTTGGTTGTCTTTGGTTTTTTGTTTTATATATATATATTTGAGACTGTATTATTAGGTGCTTAAAAATTTAAATTGCTAAATCTTCTCAGTGAATTAAAGTGTTTAAAAATATGAGGTCAGTGGATCTCTTCTGGTTCATTTCTTTCAGTGTTACCTTGGAAATCACAACAGGCATAAATAACTTACCAAATTCCAAAGCTAATGAGTAAAGGTATCTCTTCATTCTTTGTACCTCTCCTCTTAACTCTATGCTCTTGTTGTCAAGCACTTTAATAGTCTACCTTATTAAATCTCACAACATATTTTTATTTTATGTTTAGGTATATACTTACGTATTTACCATTTCCTTTGCTTTTCTTTCCTTTTTGGATCTCACACTTCCCACATTCTGCTGTGATGAATTCCCATAGTTTTTGTCTGTGTTAAATTGAATTAAATTTGGCTTAAAGCAGGTGCTGTACATATTTTAAATTTGGTTTAAAGCAGCCACCATACATATTTTAAGTTTGGTCAGAGGTTTCTCCATATGCATAGTGAGCTGTATTCTAACTTGATGTGTAAACAGACTGTTATCCTCTCTTGTAACTAAGCCTTAGCCATTCACAAGCAGCTTAATGTCCAGAAAAAACAGCTGGGAGCTGTAACCCACCTGTAACCACATCTGTCGGTCCCTGTACCTCACTTCCATTTTCTGTAGAATCTGCCCATATGGAGATTCTGCCCATATGGAGCATTACAAGCTATCTTTGGACCAGTCTGCTGCCAAATTCTAAAGTCAAAGCCAATTAAGACGTGAAACTTGATTTGTTGTAATTTTGTCCTTTAACATCTGAAAAAAAAATCTAGATTTTGGCTTTGTTTGTGAAAAGTATGCTTTGGGGAGCATCCCAGTTTGGCTGAAATTTGAAGATAGAATTCTGCTGTCTTCTAGCTGCTTAGGCTTCCATTTTCCCTTCTTTGGCCAGAAGATTCCTCACTGTCCTCCCATGGCATTTATGCTTTTATGAAGGTTTTAAATTATTTGACTAGCATTTTAAGTTGTCCTTGCCAAAGTGATTAGCATAAATCATCTAATGGACTTTTTCTGTAAACTAGAAGTCAGTATTGTTTTTATTTTGAATTATATAGGAAAATGGGGCAACCGATCTTTTTTGATATCCAAACCTTTTAAAAATTTATTATTATCATACTAGAGATCAAAGCCAGGGTGCTGCACTATTGAGGTATGTCCTCAGCCCTTTTTATTTATTTTATTTATTTTATTTTTATATTTTTTGGTACCGGAGATTGAAATCGGGTCCTTGCGCTTGCGCAGCAGGTGGCAAAACCACTGAGCTAAATCCCTGGCCCAGCCCTTTTTATTTTGAGACAGGGTCTCCTAAATTGCCCAGATAGAACTGGAACTTGCAGTCCTCCTTCCTCAGTCTCCGTCAGTGCTGGGATTACTCTCATGCACCACCATACCAAGTTATACCCAAATCTTTCAAAGCTATAATACTATCAATTGTGATATTGTTGAGTCATTTGTAGGCTGTTAACCAGAATGTTAACTAGTAAAGGGCCAAGCCCTGAGTCCATTATCTTCTCTTCTTTCTAGCCTCTTTTTTTTTCTTGCTTAAATTCTTTTATTGGTACATTTCAGGTATACAATACATTTACATTTATCATTGGGTGCTTGTACCTGTACACGATGTATCTTGGTTCTTATTTTTTCCCTATTACCTGTGCTCCCTTCCCTATTTACACAGACTTTGTATCCGTTTTTTCCTTTTCTCATAATTTTTCCTTTCCCTTCTTTCCTTTCCCCTTTCTCTCCCACTTCTCCTACCCTTTTGGACCTTTTCTTCCTATTTCAAATTGTCAATTATTCATTTTAATCATTTAAATCCTTATTTACACATTCAGTTTCTCCCATTAGAGAAGCTATTCAGTATTTACATGTGTGTGTCCTATTTATTTCACTTAAGAGTATGGCCTCAATATGCATCCATTTAGCTATAAATGTCTCTAGTTTCTCGTTCTTTTATTTATTTATTTATTTCTATATTTATTGGTACATTTTAGGTGTACAATACATTTACGTTTATCATTGGGTGCTTGTACCTGTACATGCTATATCTTGGTTCTTATTTTTTCCCCATTACCTGT